TTTATTTAGTTTTTGCTCACCAGAAAGAGAGAGAGAGAGAGTGACCAGCAGTAAGCGTAATGGCTATGTTGCTGGACTCCCACGTAGTTGACCATGGTTCACGTCCCGGACTCGGTAGTTTAAACTTACACCGGGCGCGTGTGCGTGCGTGCCCAAGATCCCGAGAGGAGAATGGAGGCGAAGGGATTGCGGCGTGACCATCCCCCGTGGGGGGTGATTTCTCGCTTTCTGTCTCTCTGTCTCTCTCTCTCTGGTGAGCACACACGCCCTATAGCAAAAACTTCTTTTAAAAAACGATAAAAAAAGAAATAGAGAGAGGAAGAGAAAATAAGAAATCGCCTCCAGTGGGATGCCCACACTGCAATCCTTCTCCAAGCTCCTCGTTTTGGACGTGCACTCACACCTGGCATGATTTTCAAGTTGTCAAGTCCACGACTTGAACAGCACAGCTGGCCATGTGGGATACAGTGCCCTAACCACACCACCTGCTGGCCTCTTAGTCCCCATTTTACAGATGAGAAAACTGAAGGACGGAGATGTTAAATAACTTGCCCAAGGTCATAGATTAAACAAAATAAAAAAGACAATCAGGGGACCAGCAGATGGCTTAATGGTTATGGCACTGGACTCCCATGTGACCAATTGCAGTTCAAGTCCCAGACCGGGCAACTTGAAACTATGCCAGGCACATGTCCGTGTGTGTCCAAAATCCCAAGAGAAGGGACTATGGCATGGCCATCCACCCTGGGAATGATTTCTTGCTTTCTGTCTCTCTCTTTCTCTCTGGCTCTCTGGCAAGCACATGTGCCCTACAGCAAAAAATCTCTCTTTAAAATAAAAAGAAGAGAGCAGACAAGATTGAACACCAGGCCAGTCTGGCTTCAGAATCCTTGTTCATAAATCCTAAGCTTGGCTATCTCTTCATGCAAATGACCTTCTTTAACCTCGGGATTATGATTATAAAGCTTCCTCTCCTCCTCCCTGCTGAGTAGGTCAGAACATCTTTTCGGCGGACGGACAGCTGTCCTGCAGATGCCTCATCCCTCTCTCCCTGCTCCTCCACATGCTTCCTGGGCCATGCCTTCCCCGCCAGGATTCTCACACGCCTTTTCTTCCCCACAGAAGTGCATTAGCAGAGGGGAGCTCCAGGTGTCCCTGTCCTACCAGCCCGTGGCGCAGAGAATGACAGTGGTGGTCCTCAAAGCCAGACACTTGCCGAAGATGGATATCACCGGCCTCTCAGGTAGCAGCTATTTACTCCGACCTACTTCCGGCTGTCTGAACTACCCTACTCTTTGCCTGTGGCCCAGACACACCTGCATGTCCAGGATGCCGGCTTCTTTCACTGTTCTTTCTCTTTTTTAACATTTTGTCAGAGGGTGCATGCACTCACCAGAGAGAGACAGAGACAGAGAGAGGGAAAGTAAGAAAGCACCCTCCATGGGGAATGGTCATGCCACAATTGCTTTTCCTCCATCTCTTCCTCCTTGGGGGATTTGAGGCAGGTATGCACACACACCCAGTGTTTTTCAAGGTGCCACGTTCAGGACTTGAACCATGTCGTCAACCATGAGGGATCCAGCTTCCTAAACTGTCAGACCACTGGTTGGCCTGGTCTTTTCACTTTTCATCCATTCCTCTGTGTTCTCTTCCCGATGAGTGTCTCGGCCCAGTAGATTTCTCTGGTTAGGGAGGTTATTTGGGTGAGCAGTTAGAGTTTGCACACTTGGTAAGAAATCTTAAATGATAGCATGCCAGGTTCTGAACGCTCACTCCAGGGGAGACTTCTCAAAAATGAACAAGGCAGGGAACCAGCAGTTAGCGTAATGGCTATGTCGCTACACTCCCACGTAGTCGACCGCGGTTCGCGTCCTGGACTCGGTGGCTTAAAACTCACACCGGGCGCGTGTGCGTGCGTGCCCAAGATCCCGAGAGGAGAATGGAGGAGAAGGGATTGCGGCGTGACCAGCCCCCCTGGGGGGTGATTTCTCGCTTTCTGTCTCTATGTCTCTGTCTGGCGAGCGCACGCACCCTATAGCGAAAAACCTCTAAAAAAAAAAAAAAAAAAATGAAGCAGGCATTTATATGTCCCTATGCCCTTGAAAATATTTCTTGGTGCCGTTTTGTTTGTTTGTTTGTTTGTTTCCCCCCAGACTCACTGAGGAAGTTGTTCTGTTCTGTTCCTGTCTGGTTTCCTTGGCCCCTTGCCCAGGCAGGCATATTCACCTAGACTATGTGCATTTATTGTGCAAACCCGGAAGGCTGCATGGGGGTGGTGACCAAAGATAGAACAATAGGGTCCCCTCCTTCCCAATGGGAAATCACCGCTACATGAGAGGACTGTGTCATCGGCCTGTCTCCCTTTTTCTTATCTTTTCTGGGGGCCCCAGATCCTTACGTCAAGGTGAATGTCTACTACGGCAGAAAGCGCATCGCCAAGAAGAAAACCCACGTGAAGAAGTGCACTTTGAACCCAGTCTTCAACGAGTCTTTCATCTACGACATCCCTCCTGACCTCCTGCCTGACATCAGCATCGAGTTCCTCGTCATCGACTTCGATCGCACCACCAAGAACGAGGTGGTGGGGAGGCTGATCCTGGGGGCACACAGCGTCACGGGCAGCGGTGCCGAACACTGGAGAGAGGTCTGCGAGAGCCCCCGCAAGCCCGTGGCCAAGTGGCACAGTCTGAGCGAGTACTAATTCTGTCCTTGCCTCTAACCCTGGGGCCGGGCTGGGGAGGGATGCGGCAGGGAGAGAGATGACAGAGAAGCGGACTCGAAACCTCATTTTAGTTGTAGAAGAAAATTTCGTACAAATAAACCCCACAAAGAACACCCCACGTGACCACAACTGCAGATCAGTTCTTAGCGATGATGACTTTTCTCTTTGCAAGGCACTAGAAATTGTTTTTTTTTTTTTTTTAAATGGGGGAACAAAGAGGAGGAAAGACCCCCCCAACACACGTCTATATATAACAATGTAATCTTATGCTTGCATGTCTAATACAAACTGAAAAAATTAGCCTAACTGCCAATATCAAGTTGCAGATTTTAATCCATGAAAATTGTGTTTTGTGCCGAATTGTATTTGCTGATTACCTGAAATTGGCCTCTTTTTATTGGGCTTCTCTGGAGAATTACTCCCACTCCCCACCTCTGCAGAAGAAAATTTTGCTCTTGTAAAACCTCATGTTTTCATCACCCCCATCTCTCCTCCCCATTACCTCTTACATCTCTGCTCTTTGACTAAGCGCAAGGTCCAGAGGTTTGTCATAAGCCAAGAAACAAAGGTGGGATGGGTAAGGCAGGGTTTGCAGGAGAAAGAGTAAATGAGACCTGGGGTATTTTTGCGGTCAGCCCTCCTGCGAAGGGGTCAAGGGCAGTCTGACTAACTAGTAGCCCCAGGGAGGCACATAGAACCCACCAGACTTAGCAGGTAGAACTTGGATTTAGAAAATTAGATGACTTTATTAAAAGGAGCTTTGGAGACTTCCAATTCTGCTATAGCGAGTACCCACGAGCCCGTCTAGCTGACCCCACCTGCCACCTGCAGGTACGAGGTCAAGGAGAGAAGGAAGGAGATGGCCGCCATGCCCCATGGCAGCCAGTCATGGTAAGGACAGCCAGGTTTTGACTGATGGGTTAGGAGTCATCAAAGTTTGAAAGATGACATTGATCTTTGCTTTTCCAGAAATGGTGACCACAAAGAAGCTTGAGTCTTCTCAAGTGGCTTAGAAGTTATAATGGGGGGTCCAGCAGGTGATATGGTGTGGTAAAGGCACTGCACACTCCCACATGGCTGACCATGGTTCAAGTCCCAGACCTGGCAGCTTGCTTTCTCACTTTTCCTCTCTCCCTCTCTGAATGAATAAGTAAAATTAAATAAAATAATTCTTAAAAAAAAATAAAAGAAGTTATAATGAGGGGCCAGCAGGTGATATGGTGGTTAAGGCAGTGGATTCCCGCATGGCCCATCACAGTTCAAGTCCTAGACCCAGCAGCTTGAAAAATCACTAAATAAGTCAATAAATATTAGGTTGCCTGAAAAGTCATGATGTATTTTTCTATGTTTTTCTATTAAAAAAAATGCATCATGACTTTCACAATGACCCAATAAATTTTTTTTAAGTTATAATGAGATTAATTTTGCCTGCTAAGGAAAATAAAAGTCCTTAGAAATTATTCTTTCTCCTTGCATTTTTCCGTAAGGGCTCTTAAAAAAAAATAGCAAAGTAGCTGAGTAATAAAAGTATCTTGAATTCTTTCAGAACAGCCTTTCTCTCAAAAGGCAGCGTGTAGTTCTTAGGATCTCTGAGTGTCGTGACATGTTGGAAGGATGGGGAATCAGAGTCCAGGCTTCCTCTGCTGGGCCCCAGAGATCGGGAGAGGTTCAGTATCTTACTGGATTAGAATCCAAGTCTCCATAGTCCTAGAGCAGCCATGTCCCCCGGGCTGCAACCTTCCAGGGGGTGGTAATTTCAATGGTAATAGGTAAACTGGAAGAGGCAGAAAGTATTTTTGCCAGCCTGAAGCAGAACTCCGCTGAGTAAGCAGCGGCTTGACCCAGGGCCTGACCCAGGGCCTGAAAGGACAGCTGAAGCTGAAATATCCACTTCCACACTAGAACTGCACTTTCTAACTTGCTTCTGAGAAGAGAGGAAAAGCTGGGTTTCCACAGAGAGGGGGAACATCTTGCCTTTACTGTTCCCCATCTCTTTTGGACTTAAAATTGATTTGCTGTTCCTGATCCTTTTGTTTGGTTTTAATCTGCATTCTTAAAAAGGCAGAGCAATTCTGAGCAGGTACAAAACCCGTTCTCTGTTCTCCTCCCTGTCGACTCCCACTCCCCATAACGCGACTCACTAGTTCACTCTCAGTTGGGGTCACATCACGAGTCTGTTCTATACCCCCCATGGATTGTAAATACTGTATCATACGTAGAAGAAAATAATTTTTGTTTTCTAAAAACGCATTTTGAGATAGGACAGGAGCATTCTGAAGCCCCATTAGAAAAAAAAAATTTAATGGTTCCTCTTCATCGCCTTAATGTCTAAAGATCAGAAATCGCTGAGCAACCGGCTTTTGTTTCCTTCCCAGAAACAATGCAAAGCGACAGGTGGGGATGGTGGGGTCTTCGCCCTGCTGCGTGTGCCTCTGTAGCTCCTCCTGACACGAGTCCGGGAAAACAGCCTCCCCCTCGCCTCTCCCCTCTCCTTGTAGCTTTATCCCTCGCTTTCTTTGGGTCTACTGAGCCGTAGGCGGTGAGGAGCCGGGAGGGGCGCGCAGTTCTGCAGCCTCCTCGCGGCTCGGTGTCTTTGCAGGAAGGCAAAGAGGCGGTGAACGGCGCAGCGTCCTCCCTCCTACCTCAGGCCGGACCCGCCGCGCCCTGAACGTGGCTGTCCCAGTTTCCAAGCTGACTTTGGCTTCACGCTTGTACTTCCGGAGCTAACTGCTAAGGGTGGAGGAGGAACGCCTCCTTCTAAGGGTCAGTTGAAAGACAAGAGAGTCACATCCTCGCTTTTGCACAAGGCACTGGTGGGCAGGAACAGGTTAGGGAAAAGTCACTTCTGGTGTTCCAAGAGTCAGTCCTTCTCTGAGGACCTCTTGATTCCTTTGGGAAGTCGAGAGGTTTTCTCGATGACAAAGTCCCTTTCGGAGTTATCCCTTCCTTCAGTTCTCAGTGGAGCACAGCAAAGACATCCGTGTTGAGGAACAGTGCTCGGGTGTGACCCAGAGAGAACTGGTGTGTGGGGCGGGCGACTGGCTCGGAGAGGGAACAACGTGGAGCCCCTTTTCTTGGAAGGCTTTTACTACGGCCCTGACAGTGACATTGCCCTCACCGTGCTCCCTCTCCAAAGTGGTTGTCTTTCTTTACCTTGTGTCTTCTCTTGTAAAAAATAAAACTCAACGATAAAAATAAATGTGTCAAATTAAAAAAAAAAAAAAAAAAGAAAAAACCGAAAAAGCTAACATGAATTGTGTGAAATTGCATAATGCTGTAACGCTAACCTACAATATGTAATGCTATCTTGTATGTTGAATTTGTTCAAGCACCACACCAGTGCAAAATAAAGACTGATTCACATGAAATAGGCTCCGTGACGTTTGCATGATTCTCTGGGAGGCCGCGGGACCAGGGATGAGCACACAGATGCCTCGGGGACGTTCTAGGGCATGTTTTCCTAAAGTGCAGTCGCCAGACCATCGGATTTAGGATCATTTGGAGCACTTGCAGAAAATGCAGATTCCGGGGCCGGCAGGGGGTGTGGTGGTTAAGGGTGCTGGACTCCCACATGCCCAACTGTGGTTCAAGTCCCAGACCTGTTGGCTTGCTTTCTGACTTTTCCTCTCTTTCTCTCTCTCTCTTTCTCACTCTGTCACTCTCTGATCTAAATAAATAAATAAATAAAGTTTTTTTTTTTTTTAAAGAAAATGCAGATTCCAGGACTAGCCCATTGCCTAGTGGTTAAAGCAGCCAGATCCCACAAGCCATGCTTAACTTAAAAACACTCCCAGTGTATGGGCATGTCCAAAATTCTGGAAAGAGGGTTGGAGGAAAAGGGACTGGCAGGACCATAACCTATGACAGGTACTTTCCCTCTCTTGCCAGTGCACATGCCCTCTGGCAAGAAAACTGTGGTTGCTTTTTTAAAAAGTAATTATTTTATTCAACTTTATTTAATTTGACCAGAGAGAGGGAGAAAGAGAGAAAGTGAGAATGCAAGCCATCAGGTCTGGGACTCGAACCACAGTTGGCCATGTGGGAGTCCAGCGCCCTCAATCACCATGCCACCTGCTGGATCCAAAAATTATGTTTTAGAAAATACAGATTCCAGGGACCAGCAGTTGGTGTAATGGCTATGTCACTGGACTCCCACGTAGTCGACTGCAGTTCATGTCCTGGACCCGGTGGCTTAAACTCACGCTGGGCGTGTGTGCGTGCATGCCCAAGATCCCAAGAGGAGAATGGGCACCCTGGGGGGTGATTTCTCGCTTTCTGTCTCTCTGTCTCTTTCTGTCTGTCTGGCAAGTGCACACGCCCTATAGCAAAAACCTCTCAAAAAAAAAAAAAATACAGATTCCAGCTTCCCACCCTATAGACTCTCAATTGATAAGTAACTTCGTTTGCTGCCCCCTTTTTTTTTTTTTTTTTTTGGTCCATAGGACATGTGTGCTTTCCAGAGATACAGAGAAAGAGGGAAAGCAGGAAAGCACCCTCCCCACCCCCATGGGGGGTGATTTCTCACTTTCTGTCTCTGTCTCTCCCTGTCTTTCTGGTGAGTGCATACACCCTATAGCAAAAATCTCTCCAAAAAAAAAAA